CAGACCCTCTCCACACATGTACCTATAGGAATTGCCATAAACTCTTCCCCTTATACCAGTTTGATTAGTTACCAAGTTTGCTTTTGTTCTTTCTCATGTGTTCTGAGATCGTATATGAGTGAGTCTCCTACCAGCGCTCCTGCACTGACCAATTTAGCTGTCCTTAAAAATGTCCCCCTGTTCATCAGCTCTTCCAGGTGCTTGTCCTGACTTTTTGAAACTGTCCCCTGCATGTGCTGGAGCCAGCATCATTGGAGAATTGATGGCCTTTCATCTCCTTTGCCTTGTAATTTGCAAGCTGGCTATGGAGTGCTTTGAGGGAAAGTTTGACACTCCTTTCCCCCAGTGCCCAGGTAAATGACAGACCAGCACAAGGATGAAAAGTAGAGCTGTCTTCCTTTTGAGTTGGAGTTGCTGTAATAAAACACTTTTGAAAAGCAGCTGCTCTTTACATATTTAAGGCATTTGCCCTGTCTGGAGCTCTTTATGAAACTACATCCTTCTGCTCTCCACTGGCACCCAGCTTGTGCCAGTAAGGTTGTTCATAAGAAATCTGTTTTACTTTCTGCGGTATCCTATTTTATCTGTGTTCTGGGTCACCAGAACATTTCTATCTATTTCCTTCTGCAATAATCTAAATAGAGTACTGGTCAGGTGAAAGATCACAGTGATTGTTCAGGTAAGAGAACAGCCAGGAATTGGGGCAAAGGTACAGAAACCCTTTTAGGATGTCAGTAAAGATCCTGAAATCGTCTAGCTGAGATCCTGGCCATGGTCAGCTAATGAGCAACTGGTGATTCACATGTTTCTCCTAATAGTGCCCCATCATTAGTGCAGGGAGTTAATTTGTAAAGCTGTCAAACCTCTATGCTATGTTACCAGCTAAAGATTTCTATTGATCTCTTACTTTCATTTCCTTTAATGAAAATTCATAGCTGTTTGATTTACTTCTAACAGCTGATAAGAACAAGCTGCTAAAGCAGTTCCAATGAAGTGAAAAAAGGCCTGGTGGTGTAGCACTGCAGCTCCTTCACAGTGCAGAAACACTGCCAAGGCAGAGTGAAACCCGAGCGTGACATGTTGATAACATCCTCCCATCAGGTGGTCTTTTCCATTGGCTCTAAAATGTCAAGTCTGACGGAAATGTCTTTGTTAAGCTTTGAATGACCTACTTTTGGGTATCTGGGAATAACCAGGAGCTACCCAAACCACAAGAGTGCATCTAATTTTAGCAGCCCTTCATTTCATGCATGCAAGCTTTTGTTCTGCATCTCCAGGAAGAAAACATTGATTTCTTGCTGAGCCAGAGACAAATCTTATTGGTTTTAAATCAGCCCCTTGTCGAGTCGCAATCACAGTAAAATCACCCCTCTTAAAATTCTTGAGTCTGTAATAGTCATCTGAATTTTGCTTCAAAAACTAATAATGAGCCCATTCTAAAGGATCTACAGTTGCTGGTCTCTGACGAAAATATCTAAACAACCTATGCTGGAGATAGTCTGGGCAGCTGTGTTTTGTATGTTCCCACTTCTCCCTTGTTTTTAATTGACCAATAGTAAAAGGGTCAGCTTCTTTGTCGGAAGTTTCTGAGAGTCTTCTAGGTCAGTTATAAGGTAATCCAGGGAAAGTTAAGGACAAAAAAAAGAGATATTACTGTGTCAGCAGGGTCTCCGAGGACACTGCTAGTGGTGTAGATGGTGGACAAAAGCTCTCTGACACAGTTTGGATAGAAGAAGCACTAAAAAGTATTTGGCCATTGATAGGGATATTAGTGCTGCACAAGGTTGTTTGAAAGGAAGCAAGTCCACATGTGGGTGAAGCACAGGCTCCCTAGCTCACAATTCCTAAATTGGACATTGAACAGTCTTGCTAGGAGGGACAACGTATAATCTCCCTCTTATAATGTCAGAGTCCACTGTAGTGTTAGGCTAAAACACATGTTTAAATCTCACCCACACTGGACAGAAAAAAATACAAGTGGAACTAACACAGAGGATGGTAGAGACTGAGGATTGTGAATGTTTATTTGGGACTTCACAAAACAGAAGAGAAATCAAAGCCACCAAAATACAATGACATAATCACAACAAAACTATTACCATGTTCTCTGGAGCCAGAGAACTTCCCAGTCAATGGGATTAACCATAAAAACAAGCAGTACCTGCTGGCAGCTATAAACGGGGTCAGTGTAGTTTGGGATTGAGTTAAGTATCTGATAATGTGTAGTGTTTCCCTGTGGAGCCCTTTGAGGTTGGCAGTAGGTGCCTCTCATCAGGGGCAAGCCTTGGGCAGCCTGGCTACTGCACATCCCAGCCTTAGCCAGACTTGGCAGGAGAGACAGTGATAATCACTCTAATAGCAAAAGTCAAGCTGTTAAACAATTGAGCCCTTTGCCATGCCATGACAAGAGCACCACTGCCTCAGTCATGTTTAGGAACACAGGAAGGAGCCTCCAGTGGCTCATTCATTCCCATCTGCAAAGCAACATAGAGCCAACCCACTTGGAGGGCTCCCAACCCCCTCTCCTGGAGGCTTTCTTCCCCCTTCCTCCGGCATGTGCTGTGAAGTGCAGGGGGGTATAACCCTTTCAAAAGCCCGTCTTGCTTTTGGGGGGTTGTTATTGCAACAGCTATGGAGTTTGTCTATTCAGCTGTCCTATGGGCTCTTTATGGGATTTGCCTCAACAGTGGGGCAACAGTTGGCATGAGGTTATTGTGCAGTCTCTGAAAACACACCCTTATCTTTTAAGTGTTGCTTTTTGATGTCATTTAACATACTGTTTACAATGTATTTGTGATCCATGTTTGAAGAGGCATGGGCAAAACAGGCAGAAGGTCTACTGCTGCTGGGCCATGAAGCACTTAATGATGTGAGTTGTGTTGAGTTGGTAGAGTTGTCTCATCTCTGAATTTCACAGGTTTTAAAGGACAACTTGGTTCGGCCGTAAAGGTATACAGTTAGGAAAGGTGTTTATGTAAATATTTTTCTGAGGCTCAAGCTGTGGTTTTAGAGGCCCACACTTAGGTTCAGTGTTGGATTTGGACAGGTATTGGTCTGATAATCCACTGAGATCAAGCAGTGAGTGACCAAGAGTGAGGAGGCAACAATTCTAATCCCCAGTTCACAGATCACAGACTGGCAAACTGCATGCGGGGAGGCTGCTGTGCTTCCTGGAAGAAGTAACCTTTGTCTTGAAAAAAAAAGTGAGAAAGTACTTGTACCTGAGCCTCTGAGCTATTTACAGGCTCTGTCTGCTGCTACTTGTTGGGCAATGCATCTTCCACAACCTCTTGATTTCAGGCTGTTTTTTTTCAGCATGGCAAATAAAAGGAAAAATAACTTGAAACAAATATTTCCTGTTCTGTGGTATTGAACAATGAAATTGTAAACCACAGAAGGGACCAGGCTTGATCTAAATGCCTTTGAAGTCAGCAGAGCTCTTTCCACTGATTTCAATGCGCTTTGGGCCAAGGCCACAGGAGGAAGAAAGCAAATGTTTTCTGCCTGAAAAAGGTTTTAACCATTGGCATTCAAAGAGCAATAAAGTCTGATGTGTAAAATGTGTTCCTTTAAATAAAGTAGTCAGAAACTTAGTTAATTTCCATCTGCTTCCTAATAATTTGTCACTATTACAGTAAAAATGAATGTGTTTATAGAACTCGTAATCATACACTGAGAAGAAAAAGCACTTAATGCTGTCATTTGCTTCCTATCTTGCTTCCATTCCATTTTATGCATATCGTATTTCTCACTAATATGATTATGCTGCTTATGCTGCTGGTTATGTTATCACAGATTAAGCACTGTAGATTTCCAGTTGAATTAAACTTCACTGCACTGATGGTGGTTGACAAATATATTGAAATCATTATTTTTCTGTACAGTTTAATCTCTAAAACATCACAGTGGGTTTGGTTTTGTTGTGTCAGTTTTTGCGGATTTTTTTCGTGACTGAGGAGGAATAGGTCAGAGATAGAGAAACTGGGGAGCAAAGAACCCCAGTTCTGGGAGTAGTGTAGGGGATGCCACTCCTACCACAGAGTTAGTCAAGTAGGCTGCATGCAGCAGCTTCACGTGTAAAACCAGCAGTAGTTTTGCCTGCATATTTTGTTTCACACAGTTATTAAATGCAAGGAAAGGAATCTATCTGCCAGCTGCCTACTGCCCAAGGATGAGCAGGCTCATCAGCATGTCAAAAGGCCATACTCAGTCTAGCAGATGACAGCAGCCCATCGGGTGGATGGCCCATGGCTGTGTCGCATCTCGGGCTTTTTGTCATGCAACAGCAAAGCCTGAGCAGCTGAGTTTGCCTGTGCAACAAACCAACCCCATCCAGCTGTGACAAGCCAGAGAGAAGATCCCAAACTGGAGAGCTGCAGAAGATGACAAGATTCTGTTGCCGTGGCCAGGCTGCATTACCTGCACATGAAACAGGTGAATCAGTATTGGCTGGAAGACAGAGCAGGAGAGGATTAAAGGTGATGCAGAAAAGCGAAGGACATGAATTAATGACATTTTTCAGCCTTCTTTAGTGGTGGCAATGACCAGCCATGTCACATGTTACAGGTGAGAAGAATTTTTCGATGAGGCTTCCCATTTCAGGATATTTCTATGAAATAAACTTACCTGTCTTTTAACACCAGGCTTTGAAATGTCCTCCTGCTGTAGGACCAGTGCGTCATTTGGACTTTAGCAGAGTTTAGAATAGGGCTCAAAGAGGAGAAATCAGAATGGAGTTAAGAACATTCTTCCAATTTGTAAGAACCATTGTTTACATTCATGGGAAAACCATGAAGCAAGGCAAACATAATTTTTAAAAATGTGTGTTGTTAAGCATCTGGGATAGCAAACACAGTACTATTTGTACTAAAGTAGGGGTGCTGCCAACCACAGTCCATCAAGAGACCAGTTCAGCTTGAATTTACTCCTTGGAAGCCCTCCTCCTTCGCCCCTATATTTCTTCCCACTGCAGAGCTGCATAAATACAGGAAGAAAAATTTAACAAAGAAGAAAAGATTATGAAATCACTTTGTTCTCTTTCAGATGAGAATTCTGTGTCTTTCTGGCTGTCAGGCAGGGGCATCGTGGTTTCAAGTTGGAAAATCATGTAATCAAAAAGGCAGATTTTCTGAATGGGTATCTTACAGGAAACTGAATTTTCCAGAGGAGTTATCTATATGTTTTGGTAAGTGTTTTAAAGCAATTAGAATAAATGGCATACAGTAAAGCTTTCATATTTTTATAATATGTTAATGATTAACTTACTTCCTACATCTTTGTTGACTTAGTGGGAGAGTGACAAGGAACTGTGAGGTACCTTTTTTGTAGCATAAAAGTCGGACAATTTGCACGGGCATTTTTTTCCACTTTCCTTCTGGAACTTGCTTCATCCAGCTGACACTGCTTCGCAGCCTTAGGCAACTCTCAGACTCACAAAAGTAAGTCCCCTTTTTTTTTAATATGACTTATTTCATGAAGTGCTGATAGGGAACAGATGGGGAGAGATTTAAATATTTGTTTGTTTCCTATAAAGAATGCTTTCCCAACTGGGAATTGAAGAATTAAGTTTTCAAGCATTAAATCATAGGGATATTGCTAAGAAGAGACCTTTGAAATTACTATACTGTTGGGGCTTTTTTAAAACTCCCTTTCTGCTGCAAGACTTACATTAAACAAAGGATTTGGTTAGTAAACCATGTACAGTATAGTCCAATAAAGCTACATCTAGGCTATAAAACTTTACAAAAGCAGGATTTGAATGTTAATTTCAAAATGCATGCAGTGCCTAACAATATCTAAAGCAAGAATATTTACTTAAAACATGAAATAAGTGGAAAATAATGAATTCCTGCTTACATTGGCTGGGAAAAATAATTTTGTGCATATTTTATATAGGAAGAGTTTGTCATGAATTTCCTCTTTAAGGTGGTTACAAGTTGCAGTGGAATTCCTAAAGCAAAACTTTCTTTCAACAGGCAGATGGGTTGCAGACAGGGAGACTCAGACTTCGCTCGTCTATTGGAACATTTCTTAGTGTATTTTATCTTAGCTTTCCTATCATTTACTAAGAAACAAGGATTGCCTCCTATCCTTTTGGAAAGCCCTCCTTTCAACCACCCACCCATTGTCTCTGGAGGAAATCTCATGAACAGGTTGCTGTGTGCAGGTTGTGTGTTCTCCCGTTCCCCCCTTGGCAATAGCTCCTTCCGTGCATTCGGCTCCGGCGATGCTGGTTTCCCCTGACCTGGTGCCCATGCAGCATGTCCAGGCTGACACTCCAGGTGCCCAGAAATTCTTAATTTCTCCTGCAGGCTTCAAGAAGCATTAGTTCCTGTTCTTTTGGGTAGAAGGTGTCACCTCTGGTGACATCTTCCCAAGCCCCGAGGCTGTAGCTCCCAGTGGTGTGTGAGCTCTCTAGGACCTGGGTATGGTTGCCTTAGTTACACTACCTACCCCTCAGAGCTCTTTTCTCTGTGCCAGACACAGAAAGTAAGCAAGGTTTTGGGATCTCTCTGCTTTCTGAAGCTTACTGAAAGGGTGCCATCTCAACACAGCCAGGGTATCTGCCTTGGTTTTCAGGGGCTGTCATTCTTGGAATATCCCTAAACTGTTCTACTTCAGTTCTAAATGGAGCTTCCTTCAAGACAGAAGCAAAACAACCTGTAGAAACTCTGATAATACGGGGTCATCTGGGTCAAACCCACTGCTATCTCACTGCCTACAAACCTGCAACATTTCCTTAGGTAACAAGAGCTTAAGGTGGGCTCAACCACAGAAAAGTGAATTAGGGCTTGAAAAAACAGTGAAGAATATATAGAAATTATTGATTTCTCTTCATCCTACCATCAAAGCAAATCAAATTATTTTCCTGAAGTAAGCAAAGAACTTTTACACAGCTAATTTCAATATATTCATACTTGGTGGAACAGAAATAAAGATTGCTTTGGTTTGCTTGTTTTGAAACACAATGAGTAAGTGGAAGCAGCAGAGTTCATAACACTGGATATCGACATTTGGAGGAAGGGGGTACATAAGGCATGTTATATCTGGAAATGACTTTTCCAGTAATTGCTAGCACTATTAGTTTATCTTTTCTAATTGAAAATAAGTGTGTTAGAAACAGCTGGAACCTAAACACGAGATATCAGGGTTCAAGACTTCATGAATGTCAAGGAGACTGTGTTCAAGGAATGGGCCATAAATGCAGCTAACTCTATTTCTAGGAAACTAGGAACAAAACAATTGCCACTCTGAGTGTTTGATTAAATGTCTTTTGAAGAAACTAGAAATAGACTCTTTTAGCAGCCAATGCTGGCAACTCTTGTGGCCAGGACCACAGCAAGTAAACAACCTTAGACATAAAGCCACACTTCAACCAGAGCTGTGCTGCAACAGGGATGTTAGAAGACTAAAAAATAATTTATGATGTTCTCTTCTAGACACATCCAAACTTAAGGATCTAGGGCATTAGTACAGGCTTTGAGTATCATGTCAAGGATCATGCAATTTGTGTAAGACTTCCACAAATTCATACAACAAGCCCTAGCTCCATCTCACACTTCCCTGCAGCCTCTTTCAATGTCTGAGATCTTGTGCTCAAGGTGTTAATGACTGACCCATCCAACTCTGCCTGGTGCCTCAGGTTCCAGATGGGGGCAGTTACTGCAGAGGGGATGCTGCTGCTGAGGAATGTATTACCCAGCACATACCAGCCTCTAAAGGACCTCTGCTAACTCCCTCCATGCCGCTGAAAGCTGGAGCCATCTGGCTCTTAAACTATCATAGGAAATGATTCATTTAAAGACAAGTCTTGTGGGTGATTGCATGGTTGGGGGCACTCTCTTATGCTATCCTATAAGTTGGGCATCTGTTCCCTGGCACAGGCCCTCATTCCCCTCTGAGGGAGTCTGAGACCCAGTAATGTCATAGGCCCAATAATATTTAAATGCACGGATTAAGAGAATATGCTAGGGTTTTTTTTCCCCTGCATTTGCCTGCAGGGAACAGGTTGCCCAGAGAAACTGTGGACTCCCCATCCCTGGAAATGTTCGAGGCCAGGTTGGATGGGTCTTTGAGCAAGAGGTTTCCCCACCCACAGCAGGGTGTTGGACCTAGATGATCTTTAAGGTCCTTTCCAACCCAAACCATCCTATGATTCTATCTGGCTTTTATTCAGGTCCCTATCTGAAATATATCTGTGAATGAAAGCCCTTCCAAATGAAGGAAATGAAAGATGTACTAGGAGAGAAAATGACTATCAAGTGAAAAGCCTGTAGAAGCAGCTCTCTTTTTTTTGGCTCTTGTGTCTAGACTGACCCCAGAAGCTGCTGGAATGCTTATTGGATTGGACTGAATTGATTTTAAATGAAAATGTGGATGAAATCATGGGACACTGAGAGATGGCACTATAGCCACTTCTCAAAACATTTCTCACTTCTTTGGGTGAAAAGGGTTTTCAGTCATGCTTTTCTTTCACTGACAGAGACACCACGCAGACCTAGCTTGTTCCTCTTGGCGAGATTGCCTTTGTAGGCTGACTCCATCCCATGAAGTGGCTTGTGTGCAGACTTGGAATGCTGAAATCTACAGCTTTGAGTGAGCTGCCAAATCAAGAACCACATGGCAGTGACACCAACTGATTACTCAGAGGACCTCCTGTAGCTGACTGAATATGAGTTCATTTGCCTTACGACTTTTCGTATAGCGATACTGTTGCATCATGGTATTATTCAGACCACATAGGTAATCTTACTACACAAATTAAATTAATTCAAAATATTTATAGAATTACTGAAGCATGAAACCAGACAACAGATTATGCTGTCTGTGTTAGCACAGCCTGCCATATGATCTGGGATTTGAACTGTATTTTATCCAATATAGCTCTAAACTTTCCGAAGTTTCACATTTTTTCTCTCAGAAAGCTGGAAAGGGCATTTGCTCAGGGACCAAAAGGTTTAATTTAATTTTTTTTTTCTTTTGGTGGGTGACAAGTTGGTGGCAGATCAAATTCTTCCTTTCCAAAGGGGATGCCTCTGTCTTTGCAATCTACAGGAACGGCACTGCTGGTGTTTTAGCCAAGTTCAACACCTGCATCACCCACCTCCTGTGGATGAAAACTTGCAGAGTGTCACCCCCAAGGTGTGACCTTTTCCAGGGTCCAGCTGAGACAAAAACTTTGTCCATGGCTTCGAACGGACCTTACAAAGCCCTGACTCAGGTGCTGCTGTTCACCCCAGCCTTGCCAAGGGCCCTGTTGCTCTTCTCGCTACAACCTCCCTTCCTCCCTTCTTCTCACCCTCCCTTCCTTCCTCCTTCCCTCCCTTCGTCCTTCCCTACCTTCTTGAGGTCTCAGCAAGGGAGCCTCTAGGACGGGTGAAATCCTGGAGGGAGACGCCCTCTGCAGCTCGCTCACGGTTTTACTTCGCATCTGCAAGCAAAATGTCTTTTTTGGAAATACTTGACACACTAGTCCTGAAAAATCAACGTATCTTGCTACACCTGGGGGAAAACGAGTTTCCCTGATCCTCGTTGCTGAAGGTTTTCTTTAAAAACAATGCTTCTGGTGCTGTTCTCTTTTGGTGATATCAGCAAAACCTAGAGTATGTTTATTAATATTCATAGTGATAGACACTGTAATCAGGAACTGATTTGCTTTAATTTTGACGTTTTCATATGGCAAGAAAAATCCTGTAACTATTTTACCTTGATATTTTGTTCCTTATTTTCTTGCTGAATCTTAATATCAGGAGGTAGTAAATATAGGCTTCTGTTTGATATTCCAAAACAGGCAAGTATGAGAACTATAACTCAATTTCATCATCGATCTCAAAAGTACTTCTTTTGAACCTTGTTCTTTCTCTAAGTCAGTGATACCAGGTTAGATCAAATAAGCTCCAGTGGGCAGGGTGTGGAGGAATGAGCCAAAATGAATCATGCAATTTTTTGTGTGTCTAGACATTTGATAATTCACCTAAAGCCCATCTTTGTTAGCTTGTTGTTCTCCAATGTTTTCAGAACTTTTGTATAAACCTTGAATTCTTTCATCTTGCGTTTGCTTGTTCTGTGGGGTTTTTTTTGTGAATCTTAAAGGAAAAAGTACTTTTTCTATTTTTTAATTTTGTAATTCAACTCTGGAGACAATTCTAAGTGTCTTAGCATGTGAAGATTTGATAGGGGGCTCAGAATCACAGATACAATCTCATTTAATTTTGTGAGCAGGCAGGTGGGTACATTCAATCAATGAAGTTACACACTGATAACATACTCTGAAAAGCTTTTGATGACAGGGATTCACCTGGTGACCTGTGTTTTATGACCTTGATACCAGCAAGTTGTTTAAATGAATGTTTGTGATGTACACGAGAAGTATTACAGACATATAGGCTCTGCACAAAGTGGTGTTTTCATATGGTTCAGGTTTAGCAACTGTGGGCTCAGCTGATTCCAACAGAAGCAGAAGGGAGCCAGCATGGGACTCCCTTGCTCATGCTCATTTCTGTCTCCTACCTTCCCATCACTGGACAGCAACAGAAAAGATGCTATATTGATGTGGAACTGGGACAGAAAGAAAACCGTTCATAATATCCTGTGGGGTTACTGTGCTCTGTGTCTGGTAACAATAGTTAATTAGAAAGGGGAGTTTATAATCACTTTGTAAATAGCACAGCAAATATAGAAAGTATTTATAAATTGGTTTCGGTTTAAGTAGGTAAAAATACAGGAGACTCTTCCAGAGAAATTTCCTCCATGCCAGAGAGGATTAAATGTACACTTGTAATAATGGAGACTAATATGTCCCACAGGAAATCAGTCCTATTGGAGATACACAGGTGAACTGGGAGGCCGAAATGATAAAATTGCAGATGTTGCTGTGTTTGGCTGGCGTCAAAAATCACTCTGTCCCATCCTCTTATTGCTGGCATCAGCTTCAGGACTGAAGTAAGTATGTAGTGAGCACTGGTATAAGAAGATGGACACTGTTTGCCTAAGGCCATATTGTTATGAAGACATTTTTTATTTAAGATTTCCACAGATGGATTTTTGCAACTAGATTGTATCATCTACTGAATCTGTTCAGTTTAAGATCAGTAAATAGAAAAGTTGTTGCTTTAGTAACAACACATTGTTGCAGATCTATCTTATTATTAGACTTGACTTGGTACAATATTTCTTCAGTCTTGAACGAAATAGCAGCAGAAGTAAAGGTATTTTAAATAACTTAGAAAATATAGAGATTCCTAGAACCTTTCAGATCTACATTATAAATTCAAGGTCACATCTTCTCTGATCACAGATCATTCATATAATTATCCAGACGGTTGTGCAAAAGATGTGGGAAATTACCAGGTTTGGTTTTTTTAAATAGAATAAAAGCCTAATTCATATTCAGAATGTACAGTCAGCAAACAAAGCTTAAATCTTTTGGTAGACGAAATAAATAAAATATTTTCCACCACAGTCTTTGGATGATTCGAGCTGGGGAAGCTGGGCAGATTATGAACTAGTAGGATTTGCAAAGGTGAAACACTAGAGAAATCTTGGCTAAAGTTTGAGGGTGTGAAAGCAATGGCAGCACATCCAGGCTCCAGCCCCTGCACAGAGCATTATGTTTCTGATTAATTCAAGTGTTTCTGCTAATTCATGGTTAAATAATCTAAAAATGGTCAAAGTTCAGTGATCATTATTAGACTTTGTGGTCTAGATTTGCTCATGCCTCTGAACTGTGGTATTTTCTGTCTAACACCAGTCCCAGCAACTCTTGGTAAGGGCAGCACAAAAGCTGAAGTCTGTTCGGTTTGGGCTGCTGCACCAAAACCACAGCTGCCAGGAGAGAAGATCACAGATTCTGTGACTGTTTTGTAGGATCTCTTGCAACAGCCAGGGACCTGAGGATTTTGTCTGATTTAGTTTCTGCCAGCCTTCTCTAGGGCTCCTGATTATATGTAACATGTATAAGGATCTTTGAGCATAATGGTTAATTAACAAAGAAGAAAATAAGTTGGAAAAATACATGAATTTTCTTTTTGTGAATCTAAAAAGGAGATTGTAAGGGGAGCTAATCAGAGACCCTTTCTGCTCCATGGGATATGATGACATATACAGAATTAAAACAAATATGTTATTTGTCCATGGAAATTAAATTTCAACAGTTCATTACAGTTAGGGAAAGATGACTACCATCCTCCCTCCACACACACATTGTCTTCTGATCGTTCTTTTTCACTGACGGGTTCACCTATTCACCCAAATAATAATCGCCTTTGTAATTTTATTTTTTTTTCTTTTCAGTGCCTCTCTCTCTTCACATGGCAACAGAGCAGTGCCTGCAACAGAGCAGAAGACCTCCAGAGGATGAACTCCCTGGTCAGTGCCTCGCACCTCCAGCTCACTGCCTTCGCTCTGGGTACAGTAGGCTGGATCTTGTGCACCGTTTCAATGGGAATGGTGGAATGGAGAGTGTGGCACGTGGACAACACCACCATCATCTCCTCTGGTGTTGCCTGGGTGGGGATTTGGAAAGTCTGCTTCATCAGTTACCTTCACGTCTCGCCTGGCTATAGAGAACAGTTCTGCCATAAATTCAGTGGCTACGAGTCCTTCATGCCCCATGAAATTTATGCTGCTCAGGGTCTCCTGTTGATCGCCATGTTCATGGGCTTGCTGGGACTGGCTGCTACAATATTTGCTCTGAGAAATGTGTATATGGGAATCACTCACAAGACTCTTATTACCCCTTTCTTCCTGGTAGGTGGCTTCTTCTACATATTTGCTGGTCTGTGTGTCCTGATTCCTGTGAGCTGGAATTTCTATTCTGTAACGCACAACCGGAGCATTGCTTTTCCTCCTTCTTATTACATGCCCTCCAGCCCAGTGGCTCAGGAAGCTGGTGCTGCAATTCCTGTTGGGATTGTGGCTGTCATCCTCCTGCTGCTAAGTGGGACTTTTTCTCTCTCATACAGATTTCCAGGGACCACAAACACTATAACAAAATCCTGGCAGGACAAATCCCCCGTGCTATTTCAGAACAAGAGCATAGTCAAGAGATAAGGACAGCAGGACGAGTGGTTGTATAGTTAAGGAACTGCAGAATTTAATTTTATTCTATAGTAGCTATTTTCTTACCTGAACCAGTTGAGTTACCATCTTAATGGTCACATATGACCAGAGGTTCGTCTTTGAGATAACTGCTGTTGAGCAGCAACTGTGATTAAATTTTGCCAGTTGATCTCTTTTGTATGTACAAACACTACTGATTAATTTTTTTTTTGTGTGTGTAAACTATTACATGCTCAAGGAGCTGGCTCTGAATGAAATGTCTTGTTACAAAAATGTGAAATAACATATATTAAATGTGAATTTGTTTCCTTGTTTGTACTAAGGTCTTTTGTCCATTATTTAATTAGAGCTGTAGTAAAGTATGTTTTGTGACAAGTCAAGACTTTTAAAACCAATAATATGAGTGTCATCATGGTTATGTCAAATGACTCTTCCCTGAATTGTCTAACAAATGTCTTGCCAGTTTCTCCTCTTCCTCTAGGGCACATAAAGGGCTGTGTCTTTATTGCTTCTGTTTTTCTTTCAAGCTGTTTGCATTTTATGTTGCAACATGTTTGCCTGTGGGGAAGGTGCGCTCTTAGTTCCTAACTTAGGCAGAGCCAAAAAGTCTGCAAGTGTTTGCTTCTTCATCAGACACTTCACTGAATCCAAAGGTATTGCAAAAGACAGAAACAACTTCTACAAGTTATTACAAAACTGATGTCAAAACCAGGAATATTCAGTGCAACTTTCAGGGTATGATTCATCTGATGTAGACATCTATATCTAAACCAGTCACTTCAGGCTCTGTTTATAAGCAATGTAGAGACAAAGCCTTGAATTTTCAAGATGTAGATGCCTTGAATGGTTGGGAGATGACAAGCTCCCTAAAAACCTGTTTCTCTTAGCCCATTATAATGGTTGTAATAACCAGAGTTGCTAACTCTGGCATATACAACCAAACTTCACCTGAGCAAAAAAGAGAAAGAGAAATGTCCCAAATGCTGCAATAAGAACAAATTAAAAAAAATAAAAATTCAGAGATTGGGAGGAATGAGCAAACAGGGTTGACAAACTGATGATCTCTTGAAAGAGGTCCTCAAAAGGTTATTACATTTTTAAAGAAATGCAACAGGGATCTAGAGTAATTTAGTTTTACTCTTTTAATTGTCCTGCATTTTTTAAAATACTCATGGATTCAGAGAAAGAAAATTTAACAAAAATATAATAATTCTTGTGCATTGCAAGACAAGGTAAAATGCCAGCAACCTGGATCGTCTTGCTGGTGGCTGTTACTATCCCAAGTTGTCCTAGTAGTTTAATTTTTCCTACACATCTTCCACATGGTCTTGACTTTTCTGAACTGTCTGACTATGTAGAAACTCCACAGCACCTTCATTTCCTCTCCAGTCTCTTCTGAAACGGCAGCTTATGTCATCACTGGTAATTTTTTCATTGCTGCAAGAATTTATCTTTTCGCTGTTTACAATGCTGTAAAGCACTTTCAAGTGGTGTTTCAATGAAGACAGTTTAATAGCTTGTTTATTATATATTGTTTCCAGTTTGATTTCTAATGTACAGCCTTTATGATGTTGGTAGGTTTTGGTTTTAAAGGTGCAAATCAGTTGAACTGTTATCTCTTCCCACAGGGCCTACAATAATATTAGATTATATCGTATTGTGGTTGTAAGGAAAAAAGAGACCTATCCATGTGTTTGTGCCAGCGTTTCCCCACACTGGTAAACTACCAATATTCCCTGTCAAGGAATTAGAACTTTAACAGAAAATTACTGATTCTTCAACTCTGGTTAAGTTAACGTATGCACAGAAATATCAACAACCCCAACTGTATTTCTTAGCTCTATTCGCTAAACTATTGGATTTAATTTACATATATTCTTCTTGGCTAAGGAAAAAAAAGGAACAAACATCATCATATACATGCCAAGTTTCTGTGTTCCTGCTGCTGCTATTTCCACTGGAGATTATGTTCACCTTTCCTGATGTGTGGATATGGAACACTGGTAGTATGTCAAATACAGGCTAGATAGTGAGGAAATTCCTCAGTTAAACACTGGAATACATTACCTAAGGAGATATGTGGGGTTTAAAATAAAGTTTTGTCAAAAAAAGTTTAGGCAAATAGTACATGAAGACTGTAGGTGTGAGAGAGTCCATCTCAGGACAGAGCGGTGATCTAGATTGGACCCTTGGCATCCTTTCCCAGTCTATTGATAGTCACATGGTTCTTATATGATAAAACATAACCTATGGTCAAATACTACTGTATATTAAAACTCCCAGTCCTTCCCTAAAGAAAAGATAGGGAAAAAGAAATCTTACAGAATCACAGAACATTTAGGTTGGAAAAGACTTCTGAGATCATCAAGTCCAGCCTTTGACTGATGATCACTTTGTCAACTAGACCATGGCACTAAGTGCTACATCTAGTTGTTTCTTGAATGCCTCCAAGGATGGTGACTCCCTGGGCAGTCCATTCCAATGCCTGACAACCCTTTCAGTGAAGAAATTCCTCCTGATGTCCAGCCTGAACCTCCCCTGGTAAAGTTTGAGGCCATTTCCTCTTGTCCTGTCACTAGTTGCCTGGGAGAAAAGACTGGATCCCCACCTGGATACAACCTCCTTTCAAGTAGTTGGAGAGAGACAGTAAGGTCACACATGAGCCTCCTTTTCTCCAGGCTAATCTTAGATTAGAACAAGGGAGAGGTGAAACTTCCATTGGTCAAAAGGGATCGAGCCTGTCCGACCTTGATCCCTCAGGGCTGTGTGATTCATTAAAATTTACTGAATGTTTGTGTTCATTATGATTCTGATATTGGAGGAAAGTAAAGCCCATGTGATTTTACTTCACCAGCAGGGAGACAGTTTCTTTGTGCATATTTTCATGACACATTTATTTTAGAATTTGAGAAGCTAAATTACCTTTCAGTAGTTCAATTTGTTACCATGTCAGTTGTGCTTGTATAGGTAATTTTAGGGTTATCTGTAAAATCAGGCAGCTGAAGTGATCTTGGTTTAAAACTCAAAAATGCGAAACTATTTTGGAAGGCTATTTTTAACCTAGATTGCTTTAGGGAACTACCTTATAGCCTGGCCCCACAATCATTTGTAGCAGCACAGTTGAGGACAGGCAGCAAGCTGTAATGCAGACAGGAGTGAGTGGTCAGGGCTTTGAGGTACAGAGATAAGGGGCAAAAACCTCTTAAGCAAATTTCACCACTGAAGAGATCATATCTCGAAGCTCGTCTCCAGCTTCTGTGCAGACTGGGACCTGCTGCCTCCCCAGGGACAGCACCGCTTGCCTTGTGGGCTCCACCCTGTCTAGGAATGTCTCCACGCTGGCCTCAGTCTACACATAAGCCAGTCTCGCTTTATTTTTTCTGAGTTGACAATAAACAAGTACCTTGTGATTCACTCACATGTCTGAATTCACTGCTGGGCAAACGATCTGAATACCAAGACTCTGTTTGAGTTCTGCTGGATACCTAGGTGTAATGATAAGGCCTCATCTTTGACCTCCATAACATACTCCTTTGCATAAATCTACCACAGGATGCATTTTGTTAACCTTATTTTCATGTACCCTCTACCTCACCTGGCCATTCATGGCCACAGACCAAAAAAATGTATGAATACGTGTTCAGTATTCCTCTAGGATGGATGTGCAAATAGAAAATGGAGCTGAACAGTGCCTAACAATAAAACAGCCCCACAACACAAAGCCTGCTGAGACTTTCCCCAGACGAATATGCAATTCGGACCAATGTAATTTTTGTTCAGGCAAAGGAAGAGGGATGAACTGGAGACATAGTACTGCAGAACAGGTCATCAAATCAGGTTAAGTCAGTAAACAAAATCTTTATTTGAGTCAGCAGTTTAACATGAAGACAGTCTTAATTGCCGATTTAGCTGATTAAAAGCAATGCTAGGCTCAGAAAGAAATGTCTTTGTTGTCACATGGCTTATGGTATATTACAGTGATGAGAAGGAGGGTGTTTTTCAGGGATATTTTTAGACCTTGGACCATTTTCCCCTTAGAATGGAAAAAGCGAAATGTCACAGCCAATTTCCTGCACTTTAGGCCATTAAATACTTTAGGACAAAGAGTTTTTGCTTAAAAAAATGTTAGTCTGGCTGGCATAGTGTTTAATGGCAAATTGTTTTCTTAAAATAGGAAACCAATGTACATGAAATTAAAGATTCCCAGAAGAAACATGTTCTCAGTGAGAAATATACCTTTTTCAAAACCGAAGCGGGATTCCTTTCTTTCTTGCCAACATCATATTGTCAAATCCAGTATCGGCTCACAAAAACATATTTTTCAACCAACTTATTTCCCTTTCCACTGCTCAAATAATTTATTCTGTTTCCCTTGCTTGAGAGAGTTCAATAATTAGCATGGTGCTTTGGAGTATGCTGGCTTTCAATTACTGTGTCAAACCCAACTGTATGCCAAACAAGAAAATGTAAGTGAATTTCATCTCAGAATTATAAAGCAAATAAATACTGACTCAAGGAATGGAGTACAGCACACACTGTTAACATCCAGTTCACAGTGTGTCACATCACCCCTTTTTTCTTGGGTTATGTGTGGGAAAGACTGTGAGGTTAATTCCCAGAATACTATTTTGAAGAAGCATATATATTCTGAATGTCCGACATTCTGATACAGAAGGCAACACTGCAAAACAGCAGGGAGGGGGCCCACCATGCCCACATCTAACCACACCAACTTTGTCAGAGTCCTCCTTGATGACAATGACTCAGGTGGGAACTACATTCTTTTGCAGCACCGCAGACATCAGGGACCCCACTGACTGAGAGCCGGCAGCAGCCGTGTGTGCTGAACCCCACCCTGCTGCCCAGGCCAATAGAATAATTTGCTATACTTTATTCCACCCCAGACTTTCCATCCTGGCTGCATTTGCCTATGGCATGGCTGTGGCAGTTCTCAGAGGCGTCTGGACCATGGCCTGTTTGGTACCATCTTCAGCTGTTCAGTATCAGGTATGCTGGGCTGGGTGTCACCTCCTGTGCAGCACCGAGCACAGCTTACCAAGGACACCTCCATCATCTCCTCTAGCACTGCTCAGGTGGGAACTGGGAAACTTGAGTGCTCACTGCGGAGTCTCCAGGACTTTTGAATAAAGGTCTGTCACAGAGTCAGGTTCAGTGAAGATATTACCCCTGAAAACCTTGGTTGTTCAGAAGCTTTCACTGGCTGCTATGATCCTGGGTACACTAGAAAAAACCTACAAGCTTTCCTCCAAGAAAGAGTTATAAGGGCTGTACTCAAAATCCGCATATCAGCTTTTTCCTAGCTGGGGGCATGTGGAAAATGATCGCTGGCCCATGAGTGTTAATCCCTGTGAGCTGCAGTTTCTGTTCTGCAGTGTGAGCCACAGTGTCTCATTTCCCCCTCTCCCCATGCCAGCCTGGGGCACAGGAAGCCACTGCTGCCACTCCTACCGGCATCCCTCATCCTGCCCCTCGTGAGTGGGACCCTTTCTTTTTAACATAAACATGTCATTGTGCTGGATGCCAAAGCTCCTTCTGATAAAACAGGCTTTAGATGCCCGTGAGAAATGTGAGGCAGGGCTACAGCATAAACATAGCAAACCAGTGACCTCATCTGCTCAAGGAGCTCTCTGGGTTCAACTGTGACTCTTCGATGACATTCATCCTTTGCTGTCTCAATTCAGGAGAATGGCAATAAACTATGTGACAAATTATTTTCTCCCAAATAATTATTTTTTATTTGCTAACTTTGAAACACTGCTATGTCTCATCCAGGTACCTGAGTTCACTGCAGTGCTGCTTATGAATATGATTCCTAAAGTGACCTTCTGCATAGGTTGGATTTTTGTTTTTCAGAGCTTTTTTAATAACATTGCTTTCGAACTGACCTGCATTAGTTTGCACAGAGATCATGGCCTGCATTACACACGATATTTGCCACAGTTAAGTGTAGCTTTAAATGTTTTAACCCATGCTAGGAATAAAATGGGATCGTTGAAGTAACTATACTTTTTAATGTAAGGGTTTCAAACTAACTGGTATGATATCCCTCTGGCAGGAAGGCACTCAGACATGCCAGTTCATCCTATCTTTCCATGAGCACAGATCATGAAAGCATACCCCATGAACCTATCAATGTGATTAGTTGCAAGAGTGTTAATACCTTATCTTCTTTCTGCTATTTCTCAGAAATGTTTGTATCCACCAGGACATCTCTCTATAAATAGCTTCATTTCCAGTGATAACACAGGAATTCTGAGACTTACATTTTGCAGCTGTACATAGTAAATGTTGCTTGGTGTGCTAATTGTCCAGAATTCCCAAATGGTCCTGGTGACCTTCAAAGAGGATACTGACATTCACCAAAGTTGGTGGCACCTTTACTGCTTTCAGGGTCCTTCCAGCTGCCATGCTCAGTCCAGACCTCAGAAGCTGCTGTCAGGTGCTGCTCTTCCTTTTGGAAAGCTGGTCGTCAATCCATTTGAAGAAAGAATTGGCACCACCCCTACTCTATGCCAGGAGGAGTTTGGGCCACAAATTTCACAAGCTTTGACACAAACATTTAGCAGCAGTCACATAAAGATTGTTATTAATGGTCAGAAAAGCTTGCTTCTGAAAAAAAGCATTTCTTACTTTTCAGAGGCCCAGTAATGCTTCAGAAAATCTGTTCCGTTACTGAAACTTCACATTTGTTGCAGCAAATATAAAGTACTCTGGAGTAGATATAACCAAAACTAACCTGAGAGTGAAAAGATAATTCAGGCTTTTAGACTGAAAAGTAAGTCTTACAGGAGTCTGATCGTGGAAGTCAAAAGGAATTTATGAAAGTACTCAGCATCTTGCAGGATCGCTCTTTAATTTTAGTCTGAAAAAGCTAAGCTTTGATGTGCAATGTAACTGCCTGTTGACATGCTGTCGAAACTTCTTGGTTTGCACTACAGAAAAACTAGGCAGTTTGAAGAAAACTATCAGAAGTCCACAGAACCTGAATTACCTTATTTGCAAATCATGTTGTTTCTGAAAAATCTGACAAGGAACTCCAGTTCTTTTTAAATGATCCTTCTTGTAATGTCCACTACGATGTCTTAAGAAATATAAGGTTTTTTCTTGTCTAAACAACCAGTGCACACTGGAGATCAAGAGTGAGACAGAAGAACACACAAGCAGATGAGCAATGAAGGACAAACCACAGGAGGTATAGTAGAAAAGCAGCACTGAACAGAGGAACCATAACAAAAAATTTATGAGGGGTAAAGAAGAAGAAACTTGAATGAGTCTCTACTTAGGACAAAACGGTGAGAGAGGCAGGAAAATGCAAATGAAGAAGAGAAAAGCAGAAAGGGAAAGTGAGAAGAAGGTGATTCAACAAAGACAGGAAAGATTAGAGGTTAAAATCTGTTCGGAGTTTCAGGAAATACAGTTTTTGCCTGTGCAGAATTCAGCCTAAAATGGTCTTCTACTTATAAAATAAGAATGGATATTTTTATTTTTGGGATTCAGATTCAGAGGGAAGACTTTTAAAAAGAGAGAGAATTTAGCTGGCCTATGATTTCATGGTTGACAGAGTGCCTAGCACCCAAATCTGGAGACCTTGGGGCAGGTACATCTGACAGTGAAGAATGCAAACAACTGCAGAGTTATGTAACACATATAAAATACATATTGTAGTATACATGAAACTTGGCAGTTCCTGTCTTCATACCAATATATATCTGCCTAAGCCTTTCTCAGATATTAACATTGCGAGTTATAGGGATTTGTAAGTTAATGGCAAACATTTTATTTTAGATTACCAGCTCCATCACCCTGAGAAAGTGTATCCATGTACTCCCAACTAATAGCTTTCTCTGGCCATTCACTGCAGTCTGATGAATTATGCTCAATAGGAAAATTTAACTCCAAAGCCAGTTTAATCTTTTGTTTACATAAAATCTTAAAAATCGTGTTCAGTTACTGGAAAGCCAGCAGAGGAAGTCCATATGAACACAGCCTTTTACAAATGCTCTCTCTGATTAATTCAGTGCAGTGAGTAAACAAAAAACCCAAAAATTCCCAATGAAAAAGAGCACTGTTTTTGCTTCATTTTGTCTTTTAAAGCAGGAACAGTGTAGAACAGAGTGAATAGACTGGATAGGAGGAGCTTCTGCTTTCAAGCTTTTACAAATCACAAACTTTTTCATATCAATCCACTTTGGCAGGTTGGTGTTTGTGACCAAAGTCTGGACTAGGAACCGCAAAAATGCTGTTACCCAGCTGCTGTGGTAAGTGATTTAATCTCTGTGCAATGCTAGACACACAACTGTTGGGAGATCCATTCATGTCTGTGTAGCACTCAGAGAATTGTTCGCATTGCTCAGACAACACCTGGATGGCTGAGCCAAGGATTGGTGATTTAATATCATTAAAAGTGAGTAGTAAGCAAGTAGCTACAGAGAGCAGCTTGGTGTTAGGGCAGTCTGCCTTTTTGCCAAATCATCACTGGGAAAAAAATTGTCATCTGACATCATGAAATGAAGCCAATTAACATTAGTTGGGAAATTGGGTCTTGTCCTAAAATAGATAAACATAAAGATTAAATATGCTTAAAAACTCTACTAACCATACTTTGGCCTACTTGGAGTAACCACCTGACAATGGGATTATGGAAAAAAACCCCAACCTGTAACTTATGATGTCTGTGCTAGTAATTTGAATTGTCTTTTCCAATCACTTGTGAAATAATATTCTTATATTGCATGAATTTTTTTCCTTTTTTTTTTTAGTATAGGTCTTTCTGATGGGCTAAATTGTACTTCTTCAGACTGAAAGGTTGGAAGGTTGCTATTGAGAGAAATAACTGGGGACTTTGGCAGAAGGAAATTGTAAAACTTAAAAAGGAGATAATCTTGACTGAGAAACATTCTATTCTCATGAAAGAAAATTTCCTTTGTAAGAATAACTTAAGCAAAATTGTTAAAAAAAAAAGATTCCTCTCAAAATAATTTGGTCAAGTGTTTTAGACCACAGATGCAATTGCAGGACTGTTGACTTGCAATGGACATCCATGACATGTTTCCTCAAGGGAAATCATCATAAAATAGTTTGTGTTGGAAGGGACCTTTAAAGGTTGTCTAGTCAACCCCCGTGCAGTGAGCAGAGACATCTTCTACTACATCAGGTCCAACCTGCCCTTGAATGCTCCCAGGGATGTGGCAGCTGCCACCTGTCTGGGCAACCTGTTCCAGTGTTTCACCATCCTCATTGTAAAAATCTTCTTCCTTATCTGTAATCTAAATTGATCCTCTTTTAGTTTAAAGCCATTACCCCTTTTCCTATTGCAACAGGCCCTGATAAATCTACCTCTTTTAACAATTTCCATGTCGATCAAGTCAGTTTAAAGTTTTCCAATTAAATATATCAATTGAAATCTTAGGACAATAATTTGAGGATATTTTTATGGACGCGACCCACTAGAGTAAAAATGAGCCATAATTTGTCATTGCTAAAAGGTCCTGAAATGAATCCTTTGGCTTACCTGCTGGAGGCCTGGGCTGGGATGAGGAATGAGTTGGTGTCGATTTCAGACAAAAGTCTGGATGGTCACATGTTGGACTCCGTGATCGTACAGGTCTTTTCCAACCTTAATAATTGTATGATTTTATGTTAACATGCTCTATCATGTGAAATTTAGGAGCCCAGAAACCTTTTACAGCTTTTTTTCCCCAGCACAGTGAATGAGAATAAAATGCAGTATTTTTCTTCAATTAGATTTTAAAAGAAAGCCTACCTTCAAACCCCATGCACAGAGCAATATACCACAGAGGGTTAAATGCCTGGAAACTCTGGGGACACCCTATTTCTCTGATCCTTCTGCTGAAACTGGGTCACCTAGAAGCAAAAAAAAAAAAAAAAAAAAAAAAGATTTTGATCATACAGAAAAGCTTGGCTGCACAGCTGGGGGCCACAGAACCTGACTTGTTGCTCAAGATAAGGAGCAGGTCACTGTCTTCTAAAAGAAATGTGCTCTTGTGATAGAAAACGGTGATAGAAAATGGTGATTGACACCCTTGTAGGCATTTTTTAATGGCTGTCATTGCACGTTCTGAGAGGCTGAATCCACTTGATGAGAGTCAAATGTGCTCTGCCTGCAGCTGCTGGGTTTTAGGGTATTCCAGGGGTGTGGATGGATCATGTTTCTAGAGCCTAATGGGGCTGTAGCTATTGTAGTTACCTATCTGTTCAGGAAAGTCTTGGCCTCTTGCTCGATGCAGAACTTCAAGAATCATTAAACCTTTGCAAGATACAACATAGACTTCAGATCTCCCTAGAACTCAAGCCTTTCCTTCTGTAAATTCATACCGATCCTAAGCACTGGCTTTTTCAGTGAATGCTTAGTTTTCTGCATGGCCAATATTGCACCCAACAGAGATGTGACAACAGCTGATCACCTTCAGGTCAACAATTTCCTGTCCATAATTTTGATATTGCCTAATTGGAACTGCTTTCCAGATATTAGGGTGGGGTTTGTATATAGCGTTATGCTTCCTACTGCATGGAAATTGTGGTATACTAGATCACTACTTTCAGCTCATCTGTGGGCATTTTATGGTTCAGACCCTGGAAACCCCACATTATTTCAAAGAAATTGGCTAAAAGTTTTTGTCATTTGTGATATAATCCTCCTGTCTCCACAGGAGTTACTGCCCACCAAGACTGCCCTATGCTAGCTGCTGCCATGGAGATAGCAACCATATGGTTGGTCCACTTTACTCTGTGGGATATCTCCAACGAAAAGTTCTAAAAATATCTCATTTTATCTAGTGGGAGGAATCTTAACTACCTTTCCTATCAACACTTTTAATGCCAGAGATCTCAAGTTCAATTTGTAATTAAAAATCAAGGCATTTCTTTTTCTCTTGAATTCAAATGCTCCTCCAGCCCAGAAGGGGAGTTCCTTCTCAGGAAGCTGGGGATGCTGTTTCTGTTGATTTCACTTTTGCTGTTATGCAATTCTGAAATGGGGCTTAATAATCTTTGGCAAATATTGCTTTAGGGTGTATCCTACCAATAAAAATAAAATAGTCTAAATTTGGGCTTTTGTAAACAACAACAATAAAAAAGTTCTTTTTTCCTAACAAACTTGTCCTCCTTGCAGCTCTGCGTTATCTGTTGGTTCATGGGGCTCTAAGAAATAGTTACTCTGGGATTTTTTGTGTGAAATATCTTGCATTTTTAAAAAAACTTTTGCAAAAAAGCCTGAGACCAACCTCTCACATATTGCTGATGTATGTCTTGCATGGCAAAATTGTATGTATGTAAGGGCTGTCGTGGATCTTGCAGCAATTCATACAGAAAATCTTTATCTTTAGTTTGGCTAGCCAGTTTCAAATTGCATCTTTGAAACAGAAGTTTCATAATATCTCTAGAAATGGAATCATAAAATGAAGGATATCTGTGGCTGGCAGAAGATGGAATGGCACTCATGTTTTGTCATTTTGGCCTCTTATCTATTTCTTTCAATTAAGTTCTTTACGTTACATTCTTACGTATATCTACAGTGTGGGTAAGCAAATTCTGTCACATGTAACACAGGTGTTGCACCTGTATAATTGGGAAGAGAAACCAGCTTTGGGTGTCCTCTAGTGAATTCCAATCTGATAACTGTGGGCACGTATCAACACTAAAATATGGAATGCTTTTACATCATTAAAGTTAATGGATGCGGATAATTTACATTTTAGACTCAGCATCCCATTAAAACGTCTTTGAAAATACTATATTATTCTTGATTGACAAAACTATAAGCTATAGCAATGTGACGAACTCTTTAGTTCTACAGCTGATATTTGCTTTCAGCTGTTGCCTTCTCTGTCAAGTTATTCCTTCATTAAATTTATAAAGGTCTTAAAAAGTGAAAGAAAGGTAGGTGTTTGTTTTTTTGATGGTGTTTGATTCATGTGCAGACTCTCTACCTCCTAACGTCCCCCACTTTGGGAAGCAAAACTTGATGCATAGATTTGTTGTGGCCATGTCAAATATTTGCAGGTTTTTAGGTTAGTTGTGATTTCCGTGGCTTAACTAATGCACATATCCACAGCCACAACTTTGTGTTTATATTCATTCACCTTTTAGACTGTATGAGGATTAGAAAAAAAATAAAGATCTTTGTCTGTCTGGAAAGACATTGTCCTAGAGTGGTTTTGTGCATTGCCACTAAGACTCTGTGGTTTGTTTGGGGCTGTCCCAATGGCATGGGCAAGGGGGCTGCAGAAGAGGGTACAAGGAACCTTAGGCAGTATAGTTGTGAGCCCATTGTACCTGCGCTATTTCTTTTTGCAGCTAAGTCACAACCTTGGTGTTCACCTAAAGGAAAGAGGTAGGTTTAATGTGCAATTTTTTTGCCTTTAATTGAACTTGCAAGTGGCAGGAGAGGTATGCACCTTCCAACAATTCACTAAGAAAAGCAGGTGGGAGTTCAGCAGGTGGGCACCAGGATTTGAGAGAAATTACCCTGACATATCCAGAACAAGGTAAACTTCATTGTCAATGTGAAGGTCAGTGTAAAGTTATATATGTCACATATGACTAGCACCATTGTTTTGTATTGCAGAAAGTTTTGGTAAGTGTGAACTTGCTTAATTTTTTGAGTAAGCTAAATCAGAAGGGTCACTCTAAATATGCACCAGTGTTTTCAGAGAGCCAGTAGGTATCACAAAGTGGTTAGGGCTGTTAGGTCTTTAAAAGGGATTCCTCCTCATGGACAGCCATGGAAAGTGTCATGATCTCATAATCATCTCTCACTCACATTGCGTGAATACAGGGCGCTTGGAGTTTGGCTTTATAACCACAGCTTTGCTTGCACTGACCAGCCATGCTGGTAGACATGGAGGGCTGCAGTTCTCCACAGGGCAGAGCGCACTTCAGTGCTCCTGTGTGGCCCATCAGCACCTCGTTCATGAACTGTGTTGCTGTGACTCCATCTGATGGCCAGTGGTCTCAGCTGTGCACTTCTGCATCTCAAAGTTTTGCACCTACTCCTGGTTATCTCACTTCCCAGGGGTAATGTGGTGCCTACATACTCTGTCAGGAACCAGTCACAGCGACAAAGCTTTCCCAAAAGCCATTGTGTGGGCCTTCCTCCTCAGATGAAAGGAGGGTCAGTTCATTTGGGATGTCCCTCTAGGGCTTGCTGGGAGCTGATGGTGGCAATAAACTCACAGTCCTTTCCGTATGGCACTTCTGTTTTGAGCAACAACCAGACTCAGGTCACAAACAGGTATGAATAAACCACAGTAGAACAGGGCAGGAGAATCAGCAGGACCAGAATTCCAGGTGGCAAGGCCATACACCAGCCGCGCTGGCAGGAGCGGTGATCCAGCCACATCACTGAGGAGACAGGGGCTGCAGGGGCATCTGGGGACCTGCAGCAAGAAAGCAAATCTTTAAATAGCTTCAAACCATATGTAACGTTAGTAATCGGGATGTTCAGTCCAGGAAAAGCAGACATGTCTGGGAGAAAAGCCTATGGAAAGGGTGCAGTGTGAAAGTCGGAGGCTCTGGTGGTCCGCAGCACCCTCCGCTTCAACCGAGCCTCCAACCGAGCGCTGTGGCTCGCTAGGGCGGGCTTGGCGCTTCAACGCCGCAGAGCGCTCCCGCAGAGGCACAGGGCTTCTTGGCGCCTCCCTCCCCCCGGAATAAACGGGACACTGGAAGCTGCAGGGCCGCGGCGGGAGAGCTGATCCCGCCAGAGTCCCACACGCCCGATGGGCGCGGCCGGCAGGGGGCGCCCGGGGAAGGCCGGGCCCATCCCGCGCCCCGCCCGCCGCGTTCCCGGCGGATCGTCCTCCCGGGGGAGAGGGACGGGCACTGGGCCGCCCGTGACCGTATCCGCCGCAGGCGTTTGAAGGAAGCACGTGGGAAGGCAAAGCAGTGCCTCCATGGGGATATTTCCCCCTACTCAGGCCCGACAGACCAGTGCGGGCCGTATGGGATGGAAAAAAGCTCTTTCCTCGGGACCAGCTGGGGAATGATGGACGGAGGTTGGCCAAGGTGGACTTACGAATCTGCTGCCCCCGGGCAGAGCTGCCTCCTGCAGAGGGTCAGAGCTTCATCTGTTCTTGGGAGGCTGCCGCTCCCACTGCCCACAGACACTCGGGGAGACCAGAGCACTTGTCTGGACAGAGGACTCTTTAAGGGATTTATTGTCCCACCACCACCACACGCCCATGAGGAGACACGGATGTGCAGCATGTGAGCGTGCATCACTGGGGATGTCCAGGAGAGACTTTCAGAAATCATAGAATGGTTTGGATTGGAAGGGACCTTAAAGATCATCTAGTTCCAAGCCCCATGCCATGGGCAGGGACATCTTTCACTACACCAGGTTGCTCAGAGCTCCATCTAAACTTGCCTTGAACACTTCCAGGAGTGGGGAATCCTCAGTTTCTCTGGACAACCTGTTCCAGTGCCTCACCACCCTCACAGTAAAGAATTTCTTCCTAATATTTAATCTAAACCTACTGTCTTTCAGTTTGAAACCATTGCCCGTTGTCCTGTCACTACATGCCCTTGTAAATAGACTCCATCTTTCTCATAGGCTCCCTTCAGGTACTGGAAGACCTCAAAGCCTTCTCTTCTACAGACTTAACACTCCCAATTCTCTCAGCCTTTCTTCATAGGAGAGGTGTTGCATCCCTCTAATCAACTTGGTGACCCTCCTCTGG